GGGGGGGGGGGTGGTTCATTGCTTTTTTTAATCTAAATTTTAGTTAGCTAACATATGGTGCAATATTGGTTTCCAGAGTGGAACGCAATGATTCATCACTTACCTTCAACACCTAGTGCTCATCCCATCAAGTGCCCTCCTTAGTACTCATCACTCATCTAATCCACCTCTCACCCACCACTCTCCATCAACCCTCAGTTTGTTCTCTATTGTTAAGAATTGGTTGTGGTTTGTTTCCCTCTCTCTTCTCCCCCGCCCATCCCATATGCTCATCTGTTTTGCTTCTTAAATTCCACATATGAATGAAATCATATGGTATTTGTCTTTCTCTGATTGACTTATTTGGCTTAGCATAATACATTCTAGCTCCATCATTCTAGCTGCCATCTAGCTCCAATACATTCTAGCTGCCATCACTTCAAATGGCAAGATTTCATTTTTTGATGGCTGGGTAATATTCCATTGTATATATGTACCATATCTTGTTTATCCATTTAACAGTCAATGGACATTTGAGCTTTCTTCATAGTTTGGCTATTGTTGATAATGCTGCTATAAAAATTGGGGTGCATGTACCCCTTTGAATCTGTATTTTTGTATCTTTTGGGTAAATACCTGGTAGTGCAATTGCTGGATTGTAGGGTAGTTCTATTTTTAACTTTCTGAGGAGCCTCCATACTGTTCCCCAGAGTGATGGTACTAGTTTCCACTTCTACCAACAGTGCAAGAGGTTCCCCTTTGTCCGCATTCTTGCCAACACCTGTTGTTTCTTGTAGTGCTAATTATAGCCATTCTGACACGTGTGAGGTGGTATCTCATCATGGTTTTGATTTGTATTTCCCCGATTATGAACGATGTGGAGCATCTTTTCTTGCATTTGTTAGCCATCTAGATGTCTTCTTTGGAAAAGCGTCTATCCATGTCTTCCGCCCACTTCTTTACTAGGTTGATTGTTTTTTGGGTGTTGAGTTTGATAAGTTCTTTATAGATTTTGGATACTAACCCTTTATCAGATATGTGGTTGTAAATATCGTCTCTCATTTCATAGGCTGCCTTTTAGTTTTGTTGAGAATATGTTTAGTTTTGTAAGAAACAGCCTGTCTTCCAAGGTACCTGTACCATTCTGGATTCCCATCAGCAATGTACAAGAGCTCCTATTGCCCCACATCCTCCAGCATTTGGTGACATACACCAATTACTTTAAAAGTTCATCTTTTCCCCCTTGATTTGAGATCCTATCTTTGTTATATACTACATTTTAATATTCATTTGGGTCTCTTTATACATGTTCTATTTTGCCATTAGTTTATCAATTTGTGCACCAATACCCCACTGTTTTAATTATGGAGGCTTTATAAATTATATTAATATCTAGGAGAGCTACTCTTCCCACTTTTCCTTTTTAGAGTTTTCCTGATGATTACTGCTGGTTTATTCTTCCATGAGAACTTTAAAATCAAGGAGTCTGGGGCGCCTGGGTGGCGCAGTCGGTTAAGCGTCCGACTTCAGCCAGGTCACGATCTCGCGGTCCGTGAGTTCGAGCCCCGCGTCAGGCTCTGGGCTGATGGCTCAGAGCCTGGAGCCTGCTTCCGATTCTGTGTCTCCCTCTCTCTCTGCCCCTCGCCAGTTCATGCTCTGTCTCTCTCTGTCCCAAAAATAAATAAAACGTTGAAAAAAAAAAAAGGCAAATAAACACCAAAAGCTCTTTTTTTATTGCAATCAAGTTGAAAAAAATTTTTTTAAGTTAGGGAGTATTTACACTTTTATGATTGAATTTTCCAACCAAGAACATGGAATGAATTACCATTTTTTAAATCTTTTTTTCCATCTTACAGATGTGGAGTTTTGTTTCACTCACTTATGTTTGATACAAATTTCTTGTAAATTTATGCCTTGATTTTTTTGCTGTTTATAGAATCATTTGTTATTACTTTTTGGTTGTTTTTTTTTTTGTATATATTAAGGTTATTGATTGTTTAATTTTATACACTGCAGCTTGACTAAATTATCTTGTTTGTCATTGTTTTTACATTACTTCTTTTGAATTTCCTAGGTAAATAATTATATCATCTGCAAATAGAAATAGTATTACCTCTTCCATTCCAGCTCCTAAGCCTTTAATTTTAAAATCTTACCTAATTGCATTTGTTAATATGTTCAATACAAGGTTAAATAGCAGTGGTAATAATCTTGTTCCTGATTTTATTGGGAATGACATTAAGTAAGAATCTGACTTTGCGTTCACACACCCAAAAACACATCTTGAATAAGCTACTGTTTCAGCACTTTATGCTTCTAAAGGATAATGGCGCATAACATATGGAGAGTCAGCCTGTGTATAGTTATTCTTGAATGAATCTGGGTTTTTCAATGAGAGCCAAGGACTTGAGGGAAATATAAATGTCTAAGAGATAAATCTCCATTAATTCCTACTTTACTGAGTGTGAATTGACTATTTTTAAATCACACATGAGTGTTAGATTTTTGTAAAATAACTTTTCAGTATCTGTGAAATGACATAATTTTTCTTAGGCATGTTAATATGATGAATTGTACTATTTGAGTCCTTCATAATAAACTACCCTTGCATTCAGTCATAAAGTCTGATTGTTTGATGTGCTAGTGGATTTTCTTGGCTAGAATTTTATTCAAGGTATTACTATTTATGTTCATTAGAGATATTATTTATATTATCTATATATATATATATTATTATCTATATATATATTATTAGTTATATAAATATTACTATTTATATTCATTAGAGATATTGGTCAGCTGTGCTCTTTTTGTTAACTGTTTTAATTTACATAATGAAGGTTTTGTCATAATATACCAAAGAAGACCATCAAATAGTCCATTAAATCCATTAAAATCTATTAAGTCCAGTAAATCCTTAAATTCTAAAGTGATTATAGTCTATAGCAAAATTTTCCTGGCGCTATGGAACACCAGGTCTAAAGCTCCAGGTCTACAATCAGTCTTCATTTTTATATTTGTCCTTCTGTATCTTTGGTTATCAACTCGTATTTCTGAATGCAGAGCATCCTAAAGTACCTTGAATCAACATACAACATCCTTTCTCTCCCCATTGGTATGAGCCAAAGGCTTCCATTCCTAGTTAATAATTTCTAGCTGAACTTTCATATAACCTAAAGTTATGCTGCCCACAGCAAAGAATATTATATTTGAAGCTTCTCATTAATATGACTCCAGTATCTTCCCCTTTTTCCTATACAAGACCTCTATATCCTGAGAATTACAATCTTATGCTGGTGGCATGAATTTTATCTTGTGGAGACATTCTGATCCATTATAAATACTTTGTTAATTTGTTTAAAACAAACTACTACACTTTGGTAGCAACATTAGAGTAAGAAGAGAGGGCTCAAACGTGCAAAGAAAAGCAAAGCTCGTGATTTTAATATAGACCTCATGTGTATTTTAAACTATTTTCTAATTTACTTGTCCTGTTACATGTGTTTGATGCAAGTTAAACCAAATGTATACTTTTAATAAAACTCTGTATCAGTGCTTCCATGAAAACTGGATTTTTTTTTCTTGTCGGTCTCTTGCAGAGGACATAAGGATAAGATATTTGTGGTAAAGTGTAACCCACACCATGTTGACAAACTGGTTACAGTTGGGATGAAGCACATCAAATTCTGGCAGCAAGCAGGTACTGTTCTTTGGGTTTATCGTTTATGTGGTTGAAGAGCTTTAAAAAAAAAAAAAAAAAAAAAAAAAAAACAAAATCCAACTGAAAAAAAGGCCACCACCACTACCGAGCAATTTAAAATTAAAATGTGTCAGGAAGACATGCTATTCCATATTCACTCGGCTACTTGATGTCTAAGTTTTAAAACACTTTATATGCTGCTAAGTATGTTTATCGATAACTAGAAAGCTTTGGGAAATGTTCTACTGTGAAAATAATTATTTTCATAGTCATCTGTTCTGAAAGCAGTCATTGTGTTAGACTACTGAGCAGGAAATAAAATAATCACTTTGATTGGGTGGATAAATTTTTCACTACTTTGAAGGTTCTTTTATTTATCACTGAATTTAACACATGAATTAATCCCTGACACTATACACAGTAGGTGATCCGAATAAATTTTTATGCATCATAATGTTGATAAGGATGAGTAAGTAAGCATGTCAGAACATGCACGCACATTTTATTTTTCTCACTAATAAACCAGACCTGTTATTGGGATTGTGAATTCTTAGTATTGGCTTTGATACCAGGCTTAATCTTACACTGAACAAAACATAAGCAACTGTTCCAGTGCTTTCTACGTTTAAAGAAGAGACAATGGCATCCAACATGTCTGGAGAACCAGCCTGTGCATAGTTTTCTGGAATGGGTATGGGCTTCTCAATGCTAGTTGGGAAGTGCAGGGAAATGTGAACATTGCAAGGACAAATCTGAAGTATGTACCTTTTCCTACACAGTGATTCATTTTCTTACCCTAAAGGTCTTATGATAATAATTGAGGTAAGACATACATAACATGTTTACATTTTACATTCCTGCCAGTGCTGTTTTCATTCTCCTTGGTCAGCATGCATGTAGACTTTCCTAGTTACCCCTGGCACTTAGTCACTCCTTCCTCTGTCTGGCACCAGAACTGGCACTGAACCTTGGTTAGCCACATGTCTTGTTGGACCGAGATGGCGTCCTCTCTCCAACCAGAACCTAAATCCATCGAATGAAGAAACTTCTTCTTCTCATCTTTATACCCCATCATCAACCACTGTATCTGCCGCAAAGGAGGGATTCAGTAAACATTGAATTAATGAATGTGTAAATTAATCTTAAAATATTTTTATGATTTTTCTGCCATATTTATACATCTGTACATATGTATATATAATGTAGACACCCTGGGTTTTCACTGAAGACAGTCATTCCAAATGCTCATAGAAGGTGTCAGTTTTTCAAAAAATAATACATATTCTTGGTCCACTTCAGGTGGGGGCTTCACCTCTAAAAGAGGAATTTTTGGAAGTGTTGGAAAATTGGAAACAATGATGTGTGTTTCTTATGGGCGAATGGAAGATCTAGTGTTCTCAGGAGCAGCTACTGGAGATATTTTTATTTGGAAAGATATCTTCCTACTGAAGACAGTGAAAGCTCATGATGGGCCTGTGTTTGCTATGTATGCATTGGATAAGGTATGACATATTTTCATCATTAGCTTTCAAAAATTATAAATTAGTCTTTGGAAGGCCCACGTCAACAGGATGCTTGTTTCTAAAACCAGTCCTATCTGAATTGGGAAGTAGTTGTCATGAATGTAAATGAGTACAAATATTTTTAAAATTTCACTCATTTATAATTATTTCTTTACATGCAGTTTCTCTCCACTTTATTCACACTCCTTCTTCGTGGCTCTCACCTCTGAAAATCCCTTAAGAAGTGTTGGGATAATGTACACACCCAGTAGCAGATGAGTCCTGAGGAATATTTCAGCACTCTCTTCCCCCTTTGTACGCAATAAGGAAAGACCTCAAAGTACCGACCGGTTCAATTATTATCCTGCTCAGCAATCTGACCAAAAGTCAAGTTGATAACCAGCTTGTTCCTGTGTGGACAGGTTCAGCTTTCACAAGAGTGTTGGAGTGAAAGCTTTTCACTGGCTGTATAAGGGTTTTCCAGAGAAACAGAACCAGTGGGATTACAGATTACACATACACAAAAACCAGATGTACTGTAAGGAGCTGGTCCGTGCAGTTATGGAGACTAAGAAGTCCCACTCTGCCCTCGGCAAGCTGTAGACCCTGGAAAGCTGGTGGTTTGATTCACAGCAAGTCCAACGGCCAGGCAACGAGGGATGCCAGTAGTGTAAATCTGTCTGAGGGTGGGAAAAGATGAGATGATTCAGCTCGATCAGTGAGACAGGAAAAACAGGGATGAATTCCCCCTCCTCTGCCTTTTTTATTTGGGCTCTCAAAGAATTATCCAATTCTCACCCACCTTGGGGAAGGCCATCTACTTTATTGAGTCCACCAATTCATCGCTTCTCGGCCTTTTGGCTAAGGTCAAGTGTGTTGAGTCCACCAATTCAGATACTGCTCTCATCTGGAAATACCCTCACAGATATATAGAGAAATAATATTTGATCAGAGCGCCCTCTGACCGATCAAGATGACACAAAATTAATCATCACATCTGCTATATCTCCACTTAAGTTCACCTTTGTCCTGATCTGTCCAGCTACCTTCCTGCCTTGCAGCGATTTTATTTGTTTGTTTTTAAGAAAGATCACACTGTCAGTACTGCTAAAATACTTTGTTCAACCCATTTGCCAGAAAAACCTGTTTTTCAATCACCGCCAGCTTGCTGGTGGTACCAGTTTATCTGTATTCTCTGACCTCCAAACAGTGGAGGCCAACAAAGCTAAGCCAGTCCTCATTTTGCATTCACCTGTTCCCAGGAGGGAACTTCTGATCCAGGTACAGAAGTAGGTCCTCATTAGATGTGCAATTATAATGGTTGTTTTAGTGGTTAAGCTGTTGCTTATTGGCAAATTTGTTTTGGGTGAAAGTGCACATTGGATAAGATTAAGGTAGAATGCAAAATTTGAGCAGGTCTAGAAGTTCATGTGCAATAACTTGTTTAAACTCTTTTATTGCTTGGTAAGTTAACCTGAAACATCATGGAAAAGATGAGGATGACACAGCATAATAAACCGGATTTAAATTTTAATTTGGGAATTAAATCTTCCCTACAAACCTATAATGAGAATACAGAATTTAAGGTAAAAAACTTTAAAATATTATTTCCACGTGAACTTCGCTGAAGTAAAGTAAACTAAGTCTCCAAGAAAACAATTAATTACTGAGTATTTTTCATCCGAAAAAAGGATTTTCCTAAGAGCAGGTTGGTATATGTATTTGCCGGAAAGGAAAACTAGTAAAGCCAAGAAATCATAAGCTTAGAACGAGAATAAAAACCACTGTTCAGTAAAACAAACAAACAAACAAACAAACACTGTTCAGTAAAACAATATGTTAGGCATTTTACTTTCCAGGTTTTATAAAAATTAACCTGGAAATTGATGTTCACTGAACAAAATAGGATAGTTTTGTTACATGAACTGCCTAAGTTACTCTTAGTAAATAATGGTGTTCTCTCCTGGAAGTAAGTGTTTAATTTTAAAGTATTTAATAATCATTTTTAATTGTAACATTAATTCCAGTTCATTCACTAGGAAGAGATGAGGTACCAGAAACTCTGCCAGGCTTTCAGGCTGGTCCTATTCCCCAGGTACCCACATTGAAGTAGGGGGCTGGGCACAGAATCGGCCATCCATGACCCGGGGTGCCAAGTGCCAACCAAAGGTCTGAGGAAAATGTAAAGAATACACAGTGAGAACATGCTATCCACTGCAGAAGTAGGGGAGCGTGCTTCCAGCCAATATTATATTAATATTCTATGTTACCAAGTTTTTCAGTCTCCTATACTTAGGAAGAAAACACAGACAAAGCTGCTTTTCCCAAGGGGGACCCCATTTGGGGCCGGGTGGGTAACTTGTCATTTTGATGTATATTTAATTCTTCCCACGTGTGTCTTTGCAGGGTTTTGTAACAGGTGGAAAGGATGGAATTGTGGAGCTCTGGGATGACATGTTTGAAAGATGCTTGAAGACTTATGCCATTAAAAGAGCAGCATTGTCAACTAGCTCAAAAGGTGCCACTCCCAAATACGTAATAGGAATCTTTCTTTTCATAGGAATGGAAAAGATGGTACCAACGTTCTTAGACGGCCATTACCAAATCACTTCTCCTTCTTCTGCATTTAGAGCTCTTAGCCCCTGGTAGAAATATCGAGGGGGATTGCCTAGTATCTGCTTTTGAACTACAAAGACAGAATGTATATAATAATCAGGCTTCTTGTTGTTGTTCTACTAAATATAATATTTGCAATATTAAGTACTGTATTTCCCCCCTCAGGCTTGCTTTTGGAAGATAACCCTTCAATTCGTGCCATTACTTTGGGACATGGGCATATCCTGGTGGGAACAAAAAATGGGGAGATCCTGGAAATTGACAAAAGCGGCCCAATGACACTGCTCGTTCAGGTACAGTTTACAGATTCTAAAGCACAGTTCCCATCAGAGCCGGGACTAGGGTGAGGCAAGGAGGCCACTTAGGGTTCAGTGTGTAAGTAGGTACTCAGTCTCAGGGTTATGCAACTGCTGTGTTAATTATCTATTGCTGTATAATGAATTGCCACAAATTTAGCAACTTAAAACAATACATGTTTATTTGAAGGTTTTTGTGGGTCAGGAGTCCAAGTGTGGCTTAACTGGATCCTCTGCTTAAAGTTTCACAAGGTTACAGTAAACGGCTGCAGTCTCATCAGAGGTCCACCTGAGGAAGGATCTGCCTCCAGGATCACTCATGTTGTTGGCAAAATTCACTTCCTTGTTGTAGGACTGAGGGCTCCATTTCTTATAAAAAATTTTAATGTTTATTTATTTTTGAGATAGAGTGCAAGTGGAGGAGGGCAGAGAGAGACACAGAATCCAAAGCAGGCTCCAGGCTCTGAGCTGTTAGCACAGAGCCCAAAGCAGGGCTCAAACTCATGAACCATGAGATCATGACATGAGCCGGGGTCAGACGCTTAACCAACTGAGCCATCCAGCGGCCCCAAGAGTGCTCCATTTCTTGTTGGCTGTTGGCCAAAGGCCACCTTCAGCTCCTAGAGGCTGCACACAACCTTGCCACATGGGATTCCCCAACATGGCTGCTTGCTTCCTTGAGGCCACCAAAAGAAAGAGAAAAAAAAATAGGCAATATGGTCTTATATGACATAATCATATCATCAAATACATGTAATGTTGAACATCCATATCCTTTGCCATATTTTATTGGCTGGCAAATAGCCACAGGTCATGCTACACTCAAAAGGAGGGCTTACACAGGAGTGAAAACCAGGAGAATCATGAGGGTCACCTCGTGAATGTGTCCATTGCATTCTTTTCCCTGGTCACTGATTATTACTATCCCTACCACATAAAGAGTACATTCCTCTCCCCTAGAGTCCCCAAGAGTGTTATCCCATTACAGTATCTGTTCAAAGTCCGTAACCTCATTGTCTAAATCAAGTCCAGCTATGGACGAGGCTTTTTAGGTATATTTCTTCTCAATCTAGAAAACTGTCACAAAAAATTATTTTCTCGACTCACACCAAATCTGCAAGTGTCTCCTTAGATTTTATGCCTCAGTCTAGTCTCAGTCTTGAGGTATGTAAATGTATGACCTACTTCTTACCCTCCCTCTCCCCTTAAGAATTATATTCAGGTAAAATCACATTAAAATAAACATCAACAGAGTCTTCAAAGATCAGTGAAGTGAAAAAATCTCACTTCAGGGGGTGGGAGTGTGTGGAGATGACAGATAGTCCTGCCCAATTTGGTGATGGATGGACCTTATTTATGGGTGGAAGAGGCTCATGGAAGAGGGTGGGGGTACATTCAGAAGGTGGAGTGAAAAAAAATATGCACTGATTATATAAGTTTCAGGATTTCTGTGGGTCCAGTGGAGGAGCTCCATCTCTGTCTCCTACAAGCTTGCTATGTTAGAGATGAACCCCAAAATCCCACTGAGAGTGGCCCTCTGATTTGCTGCACCTTGGAGACAGGTGTGCACACATAACCATGGTTTAGAACACTGTGAGGTTTTAAAAATGCATGTACCCAAGCCCCACTCAGTATGTCCCGAATAAGAATGTGTTTAAAAAAGAATTCCGTGTTAAAAACAAACCTCCAAAGCTCTGTCGCTGATTGTGCTTCGGAGACAGGATTGAGAATGTGCTGGAGGTACATCCAGGAGGTGTCACTTCTCTGCTTTCCAGCTGATCTTGATTTTGTTTCCTTCCCAATGAATCTCTTTTTCTTTCTGGCCATGACTTCTTATTGAATTTTATTGAAAAGTGACTATTTCTTTCTAATGCCCGAGTGTTTGAACTTTAATTTGTTTGCACACATGCTATATTGCTAAATATTTGTTCACATCCTTACTATATTATGACTTAAACAATACTGTAAGATTTAAATTCTGTTTTCTAATTTAAAAAATATTACAGTTGAGCTTAATTTCATTTAAATATCTTTTAAACTTGAAAATAAAAGCTTTTAGCCTTTCATTCTCTATAATTCTGTTCTTTCCCCTATTTGTTTCTGTTGCTCTAATAATAAAAGCAGCCACGAGTACCACTTATTGAGTGCCTACTATGTGTCAGGCAATACTGTTGCACAGAATTTATTTCTCCACAACAGATTTGCTCAGTTGAAATTGTTTAAAAGATGAGGGACCCACTGCCCAGTAAATTGTCCACATCCATGTGCTAAGAACTATAGAGCTGGATTTCAAACCAAGGTTTGTCAGATACCAGAGCCTTTCCTTTTGCACTACACCGGGCTGTTCTCCAAATGTCTCAGCATGGAGACTGCCAGAGAGCCATGCAGAAGGCGTGGCCTCCTGATCCATGGGCAGTCAGTAATGCTGGTGGAACCTTCAGAAAAAATGTTGGTTACCACCATCTTGTCTCCTTACGCTTGTACCATTCTTTTCCTTTTCTGTCAGCATCTCTCTTTCCTCTTCTTGTCTATCACTCCTTTGCCATTTCCTCCTAAGCAGAACTAAGTAGTTCAATTCAATCAGTGTTTGTTGGGCTCCTGCTGAGATCAGCCTTGTGCTACATGCTGTACACAGTGGAATAGGGCTTCCTATCCTCTTGGGGCTCACAGGCCTGCTCTGAGAGAGGTTGGACACTGAGGGAAAGTTAAGGAACAGGAAGCATGATTAAGACCATCAACTACCCTGCTGTGGGAAGATGTCAGAACCACTTTGCCAGTTTCAATAACATGGCAACTCAATGTCACTTGAAATAGATTCCTTATTTTTATTAAGAGAAGGCAGTCTGGGTTGGGGGAGAGAAGTGATAGGAGATGAGTTCTGAAAACTCCCATTGTGTATTCTTTGAATATAATCGACTCTGAATTATGCACCTATTTACTACCAGCTTTATGGGTGATCAGTAGGAAGGTAAGATTCCAAGCTCATTCCTCTGCCACTTGAGATACTTCCAGCCTGTCTTGCTCACTGTCCATTCCTATGTTACACAGAAATTTAGTCCTGTCACGTTAGGGAAATATGATGTCTAAGTAAATACATGAGACAGTTGTTGAAAAGGATCTCAGAGGTGTGTCCTGTCCTCAAGCCAAATGTAAAAGGAACTTGGTCTGTGAAATGGCTCCAAGCAGATCCATTCTGGGGGAACACTGGGGTTGACACCTGACCTGTCCTCTGACCATGACCTTTGTGGTAGGAGGCTTCAGATGGGAAGACAACTAGAAAACTAATGAGGTGCTCCAGATGCAATATATTCACTCTTTGGCCCTTGTCAGCTAGTTGAATGTCAGCTCTATTTGGAACTTTGTATCTTCTGCCAAATTACTCTTTTGCTCAAACAATTTCCCTGTTAAACCAGAATCATCCAGTTTCTCTCTGGAAAGCCACCTGTTCCCTGAAGCATTCCAAGTACAAACACCTTTCACTTGCCTGTATGGTCTTCATTTTTGCTTTACTAAGCAAAGCCTTTTTATAATTAGCCACTAAAAGCAGAAATTCAGTGAACAGTCTGGTCTCTTTTATTGTTCTGTGCACGAATCTATTCTCTACACTGCTTTATCAAGTAATAAATTGTAGGAATCAGAGTCATTTTCTTCCTAATTGTTCATTTTTAAAATCGTTTTATCTCAATATTTCTAATCCAGTTAGGTGTGTTTGTGATATGATATAGGTATATGGAATTGGTCCAATGTCAATTAAGCACCTTTCAGTTTTCTGATATACACTGGGTAGAATAATTTCTGAACCAACACTGAACTTGAGTTATTCCCAGGACGCTTGATTTGAAAACTGAGCTCTCTTTACTTTTGTTTTGCCAAATACTATGCATTCACAGGACTACAATGGAATTAAATGAGCAAGAATATTACTCTTATAGAGATAGGTGGTACCTATATCTTTTAGAAAATGAGTTTATCGAAAAAGGTGTTTTATGTCATGATCAAGCTGTTTTCCAAGTATATGTGTATCTATATATACTGGGTTAACTCAATATCAAGCAAGAGGATAAAATGATGGCATTTCCTTATTCATCCAGATGTTTCTAAAAGGAAAGATGTTTGGCATCATATGAACAAAGCTTATGAGCAATGAGTCCATGTTTTGCTTTACAGTGAATGCTTCAGCATCATGTAGGACCAGCTTTAGACTCAAGTTCAGATGAAAAAAAAAAAAATTAGTGCCTTCATCTTGGCTCAAGGAAGCTCAAACTGTGAGCTGTTTAAGATCCTCTTCGGCTGGGTATGCAGCGCAGTGCCACCAAAGGGCTAGCCAGGAAGCGTGAGCCACGTTTGTCTTGCCCTGTTTCCTCTCCCACAGGGGCACATGGAAGGAGAAGTGTGGGGGCTGGCAGCTCACCCTCTCCTGCCCATCTGTGCAACCGTGAGCGACGATAAAACTCTCCGGATATGGGAATTATCCTCCCAGCACCGCATGCTGGCAGTGCGCAAGCTCAAAAAAGGTACATGCAATCACCTTACACATCTGTAAAAGTATTTACAAACGACAGAATGTGGTGTGTTCGTTCATTTGCTCAAGTAATATTTCCCGAGTGTGCCTGTCACATGCCCCCAGATCTGCAAGGGAATGGGAATTCAATGTTCTTCGCTACAGACGTAAATTCCAGAAGGCTGGCCTCATCTACTATTTCCTTCATTTCCCTTGCATTGCACAGACGTTTGCCACCTGGGGGCAATATGTCCTTCTTCTTCTCATGGAGAGCTATGGGAATCTGTTGAAACACATCAGATTTCCAGAATGCTGTTTATCTTTATGTCTAACAGCCTCTAACAACTGATTTTGTTACTGAAAAACAAAAGTCAGTTTTATTAAAAAAAAATAGTTAATATCAAAAAATGAGTAAACCTGTATTTAACCCCTATGTGCACCAGAACAGAGAGGTATACCAGGAAGTACAAGTTAGTGAGTAGCTGCTATGTGTCAGGTACTGGGGATCCCACAGTGAGTGGTCCCATCTCTAGTGTCAGAGGTGGACAAGAGTTGAACAGAGCCCAGCAACAGACGGTCCATTCAAATACAGCAATCGGAGGAGAGTCTCAAAAGGAGACCATTTGTTAGAGGAGTGGGCAGAGTGGTGAGAAGTGACCAGGGATAGTGCAACACCAGTAACAGCCTGGTGCCTTTACCAGCCCTGGGCAGGAGGAGCAAGAGGAGAGAGAGAGCAGTGCCGGAACCTTGAAAGTTAGAGCTGTATGAGATGATGGGGCTGGCAGGAACTAGGACCATCCGTCAGCCTGGGGACGCAGCCAGCATGCAGTGGGCCCACGGGAAGGCTGCTGGGGGGGTACATACCCCAGACTCTCTGTTCTCCCTTCTTTCCTCGTTCCCTCCCACGAGCCTCCTGTCCATGCTCCCCCTTGGCCAAAGGCAATCAAAGCCAGAAGGCAAAGGAACCTGTCGATGCCATCTACATAGGCCTGCAGAAGACACAGAGTGGGGTGGAGAGTGCTGTGGAGAGACTGGTGAGACTCAGAGGAAGGCATGCTGCCAGGGACAACTTCATCAAGGAGGAAACATGAGAGCTGAGGCTCAGAGGATTTGTAAAAGTTCTCAGGAAAGGATGAGATTGGGGTCTGGCCCTAAAATACTTGTACCTGGTAGCTTTACAAGTGAGAGAGATGTGGAGAATGTACTCTAGGGGGATAAAACGAGAGAAGATGTCAAGACGATAGTAACAATGGTGGCTAATATTGTTGAGCCAGTGACTACTAACAATTTGCATTTGGTCTTGCACCACTAGTAGGTGACGGAACTGAATTCAAACCCAGGCAGCATGGCTTCAGAGAGCACACCTGTGGCTACTGCTTGAGGCTGTTTTTCTCTGCCATACTATAGCCTCTCTTTACAGTGGACTTGTGGACCCTTAGTAAGTGGTGGAGCCGGGATTCAGACCCATGTCTGAGTCCAAAGCCTGTGCTCTTAAACCACTACCTGATTGAATCATTTGAGCACTAATTTATACTGGGAAAATGATACACCAAGACCTCCTTGTGAGTGACTTCAATGTCAGACAGTGGGCTTTATTCACTAGGTTAACTCTTAGTTCAAAAGAACATCTACTAATGTATCTTAGATGGGCTGACCTTTCCACCCAGTTTAGAAAGCTTGTCCCTGTATAATTATTAATAGCTTTTCCTTTCACTCTCAGAAGTGTCATGGTTTGTTCACTAAAATATATGGCTAACCTAATCTTGATGACTCTCCTCAAGGACAGGTTTGTCTTTTGTCCTCTTGGCCCTAGCACCATGCTAGGTGCTATGCCATGACTAATGCTAGTCATGCATTATGCATGACTCATAGCAGTACATAAATAACCTATTACTGAGTGAATGAATGAAGATATAATTTAGATAAGTCAATTTGAAGTTACTGGTATAACATGGCTTTCAGCATACCATGAACAGTGATGGAGGGGATTGTGTGGAAGCTGACTTTGGAATGCCTTAGCACAATGCTGTGTGACTTTTCCATGCCCGGAGCTCTGCTTACCAAAGCCTTGACAGTAAGGTGGGTGGGGGGGGGGGGGGGGGGGTGCTATTCTTAAACAGATATCCTATTAAATACCACCACTCCCCCAGCAGAGTCCATACTCATTCAGAAATGTCTCCCTGTGACCCTGCAGAGAGCAATACAAAACATTGCTCATGGAGCCCTGTCAGCCCATACTGTTTAGTTTTGTAGACACCTCTTGAGAGAGTGTTATCCAGTACAGAAGAGGCAAGATAAAATCTTTCACCTGTAGAGTCACACATTATGATCCGTGGATCAGACTTGGAGTGACTACAAGATCCACAAGGTCTCTGAAGCAAGTTTTGGGTGTAGGTCATGATAACCAAAAAACGATTTCTAGAAATTGAATTCCAGAATTCCCATTTATAAGTATCCTCTCTTTTCTTGGGAACAAAGATACTGGTTTTCTTAATCTTTTGCTCCTTTCATCCGTTGACTCCATGTGTCTTTTGAAAATCCCAGTATTCAAGTAGTAAGAAACGAATGGATAAACCTCAAAGTGAAAATGTTTTGTTTTGTTTTTTAGCATTCTGATCTTTGTCCTTGGGTTTGAAGGGAAGATATGTTTTTTAAATTGTTTTCAATGTTTATTTTTGAGAGACAGAGACAGACCCTGAGTGGGGAGGGGCAGAGAGAGGGAGACACAGAATCCGAAGCAGTCTCCTGGCTCTGAGCTGTCAGCACAGAGCCTGACGCGGGGCTCGAACCCACGAACAGTGAGATAATGACCTGAGCTGAAGTCGGACGCTCAATGGACCGACCCACCCAGACACCCCAGGAAGATATATTTTAAATGACCAAGTTTTAGTTTTCCTCACAAGTAGTGTTAAAGGCACAGTAACATGTCTATGCATAATGCATATAGGCACATTTCTCCATCTCTTCATTGAATATGTTTGATAGTAGAATCCTGGTTAATAACTGTTCTTTGTGGATTCTTTTGTAGGTGGAAGATGCTGTGCCTTCTCCCCTGATGGGAAAGCCTTAGCAGTTGGCTTGAATGATGGGAGTTTCCTGGTCGTAAATGCTGACACTGTTGAAGACATGGTCTCCTTCCATCACAGAAAAGAAATGATCTCTGATATTAAATTTTCAAAAGGTAAAGATTAAAGCAGAAACTTTCTAGAATGTGTTTGGGGCAAAAATTTGTGAGAGTGGACTCTTTAAATACTTCCTTGACCTTTTCCCCATTTGAAATAAGTTCCTGGAAGTAAATTCTTGTCTAAAATGTTTGGGTGTTAATTGCATGTTTTTCTTTACAGATACAGGAAAATACCTTGCCGTGGCATCCCATGATAACTTTGTGGATATTTACAACGTACTGACAAGCAAACGGGTGGGCATCTGTAAAGGTGCTTCTAGTTATATTACCCATATTGACTGGGACTCTAGAGGTAATGTATGTTGTGGCTTTCACGACAAAATTTTTGTTTCAAAAAAGTCAATATCCATTCATACATGTTTCCAGAGAGAAGAACAGTGGAGCTTTAGAGAAAGACAGAGTGGAGAACCCACAGCAAATATAAGCAACTGTAATTTTACAACGCAGGGGCACCTGCGTTAACATTTTGCGTAGTTTTTCTGTCTTATTACCACCACCACTACTCCTACTATTATTATTGTTAATTCAAGCCATTGAGTTTTAAGACCATTGAAGATACACGATGCCTTCTGTTACCCTGGCAAGCCACCACTTCACCTTTGGGTTTGGCGTTCCTTGTCCTTGCCTTGTATCTCCTCCTTACTGTTTTCCTTTTTCTACCAATGCTTCACCTCCCCAAGAACTGCCCAAGAAGTCTCTAGCAATTTTCGTGTTCTGACAGAGGTAGAACTCTGCACGCAGCTCACCTGAAGTTACCCTGCTCTCCAAAACTCCCAGCCGACCCCCTACCTCCTGCAAGTCATGCCCACAGATGCCATGGGAATTTGCCTGTTTATTTAACAAATCTAGTTTCTACATGTGCAAAGTCTTAAGGCAGGAAATGTGGATGATTCAGAAGTGAGACACAGTTCCTGTAGTAGTCCACAAGAGTTTATAATTTAGTGGGGGAGACATACTTGTGCTTGAAAAATATAGTTGCCCAAATGTTAAGGCATGGGGACAAGAACTGGAGAGTCACAGGGAGGTGTTATGCAGGGCCTCTGAGTGGGCCATGTCAGCATTCAGCACCCAAGATGGAGCATCATTGCCCCAGGGGGGGTCACTTTTAAATCTCATCCCAGGGACTTAGCTGTTGTTAGAGTTTGGAGTAGGCATTTAGGAATGGGCAGGGTCCCGGTTTTGAAAGGAGTTTTAGTTGACCATGGTAGAAAGCACCAAGCCCAGTGGTGTCTCTAAGGAAGGAGCTCACAACAGGGGAGTCCATGGAGCCTCACAGAAGCAGTGTCCTTTAAGGTAGATCTTGAAAGATGATCAGAAGTTCACCAGATGGTGAAGCATTCCAGGCTCAGAAGGAACATGACATGTCAAGATGAGGAGGTGGGAGAAACAGGGGAAATTGAGAAATAATAATATTGAGTGACTAAGGGCGAGAAGAGAGATGAATGTGGGGGGAAAGACCAGGACAGGATGCAAAGGAACCTTTACCTCCTACTAGGAAGCTGAGCACTGAACTTTATCCTGGAGGTAATTAAGTAATTCTAAAAGATTTAGAGGTGGGGCAGGAGGGGGGTGTTTTCTGCCATCTTTGGAAGGATGAATAAGCCTGGAGTGGAAAAGCAACTAAAATCAGTCAGGAGAAAGAGGTGCTGAGATCTTCCACCAAATAGAGATTATTTCAGAGTTGCCAGAATATTTTATTTCAAGTATTTTTTTTGAAGTACTGGCCATAGACTGATCCTTCTGCCAAGCAGGTATTCATGTGTAACTGTACTTGATGCATTGGAATTTGGACTTTATTTGAGCCTTACAACTTTCAGGCACTTTATATAGTGCAATAGATGGAAGAAAGCATGCTCTTTACTGCGAGAGGTGCAAGTCCCAACAAGGGCAAAGGGAGATCAGATAAGTCTCTCTCACTTTCATGTCAGAGCCCTCCCTGCCAGACACAGCGCCGAGGGCTTAGGCTGGCATTTGTGATCAGAGGTGACACTGGTGGCCTGACAGTCCTCTAGGAACCATTGAGGCCAAACAGATAGAGGGAGACAGCTGCTTCTCAGCCACACTTCTTGGATGTTCTCTGCTTCATTGTTAAAAAAAAAAAAAAAAAAAAAAAAAAAAAAAAAAAAAAAAAAAAAAGACAGTGATTTCCCCTGTAAATTCTCTTGCTAATGTCCCGATTTATGTCATGTTGGGAGGAGAATTTAGAACAGTCAGGGGCAGCCTTATGCATCTGTAGAATAGAGTACAGTGTGTTTTGTTGGGAATCCAACACCCACAAAATACATAGCACAATATGTGAAATCCCACCATGACAGTGGTCACTGGAGGCTACACTTGGTTCTTATTCACATGTTACATATTATTTATAAGAGAAAATGGGACATAGGAAGAATCAATTTCAATGGGGAAGACTCTTTTACATTTGTTTTAATTTTGGTAAAATACACATAAAGTTTACCATCCTAACCATTTTTAAATGTACGGTTCAGTGGCATTAACTGCATTCATACTGTTGTGCAACCTTCACCACTGTCCATTTCTATAAACCGAACCTCTATACCCATCAGACAAGAGCTCCCCTTTTCCCCTTCTCCCGGACCCTGCTAACCACCATTCTACTTTATGTCGCTATGAATTTGACTCCTCGAGGTATTTCATGCAAGTGGAATCATATGGTATTTGTCTTTTTGTAACTGATTCATTTCACCTAACATGATGTCCTCAAGATTAATCCATATTATAGCATGTGTCAGAATTTCCTTCCTTTTTAAAATTTTTAAAATTTATTCATTTATTCTGAGAGAGACAGAGACAGTGCAAGTAGGCAAGGGGCAGAGTGAGAGGGAGACAGAGAACCCCAAGCGGGTTCCTGTGCTGCCAGCACAGAGCCTAATGCAGGGCTCGAACTCACAAAAACGCAAGGTCATGACCTGAGCGGAAACCAAGAGTCAGACTCTTAACTGACTGAGCCACCCTGGCACCCCCTCCCCTTTTTTAGTATTAAAAAAAAAAATTCTTGTTTATTTTCCGTCCTTTTTAAAGTTGAATAATACTCCAAAGTGTATATATGCCACATTTTGTTTATCTACAGACAGACACGTGTGTTGTTTCCACCTTTTAGCTATTGTGCATAATGCTGCCATGAACGTGAGTGTACTAGACCCTGCTTTTAATTCTTTTGGGGCATCTACCCAGAAGGGGAATTGCTGAATCAAATGGTAATTCTATTTTTAACTTCTTGAGGAGCCACCATACTATTTTGCACAGCTGTTGTGTCACTTGACATTCCTACCAACAGGGCACAAGTGTTCCAGTTTCTCTACGTCCTCACCAACACCTGCCATTTTCTGGTTTGGGAGGAAGTCTTTTTTATAATAGCCATCCTTATAGGCATGAAATGGTATCTTATTTTGGTTTTTATTTGCATTTGGGGATTTTTTTTTTTAACCTGCAAATGTGTAGGTCCTGTGTTGGATGCTAGGGCTATAAAGAGGAGTAAGTCCTAGGTGGAAAGAACAAGATCTTGGCCAGGATCAGTGGGTTGCAATCATGGAGGCGATAGTCTTTATATATAAAGGCCCCCAATGTAGAGCCATCACTTTGCAGGCAGAGGAGCAAACCTCACTATTTCCACAATTTTGCCCTAAGCCAGCTTCTGTGGTCCAACCAGAGCTCAGGGTGATAGAAAAGGCACTGGGAGTAAGGAGGCTGAGGTCTTTGAAAACCTGCCTCATCTCCTGTCCTATGTGGCCCCTTTGGTCAGGTGAGAGTGTCAGACCAAATGTGTTCTATGGACGGAGAGGAAAATAGAATACTTTTGATTTTCAGGGAGGAGTTATATTACCTGGAGAATCAGAGCAAGTATGCCCATGGACCTTCCCTGGTTTAACTCCAATTTGATTGCCATGAGGCATGTGTCATGTTGGTATTGTGCTCCTGATATCCCAGTTCCCAAAGTGGCTGGCCTCAGGAATGTGCCATACTGCCTCAAGACCAGCCTAGTTTTTCACAGCAGGGCCTTGAGGGTCCGGTAAGGGCAGAGAGCAGAATTTAGGAGCAGGGTTCTATTTCATGCCTTTGATCTTGTCAAAAATAGTGAACACATTTGCTAGAGCCAGCTGGCTCATCAGGGGTAGGGGGTGGCACAGCCTCTCGTGTCCATGGCAACCATGGGTCCTAAGGAACCAAAAAGCCCATCAGCCTTTTGCAGGAATGTCAGCTGCCCCTGAATGAAAGCTGCTGAGAAGGGGGGAAATGTGGAGAGAGATAAAATTTGGAAGAATATTTCCTAGTTGATATTAGTTCATTTCTAGAAATATCAGGACTATAAGTCCAGTCAACAGTTTGGGCCATAATAGAACTCTCGTTCCCATTTTCATTGCAAATGATCTGATATATTTGGTACATTTAGTTTGAATTTTGGAATTGTTCTAACTTAAAAATTATATAACAACTAGAATGATGGGTGTGAATCATTTCGTGGATTATATAGCTCTATCCACCTTCAGGGTGTGTGGTTTCCTATACCTGCTTAGTAATGAGGACATCTGGCTCTTCTGATTCTCTTCCACCTTGTGAGTAGACATTTCTAGTGAATAAAAATGTGACACTTTTGAAAGAATAGAGTTATTGCTACTAAGTGGCAATTATACATGGATTATACAGATTTTTTGCTCTTTGCTTCTGTTCTCAGAATATTTCAGTGCCTTTATGACAGAGCAGAGGCAGCAGAAAAAAAGAGTGGTGACCTAAATATTTTCTGTGTGCTTGAAAAAATAAAGTAGTAACTGCAGTAAAGAATATGGTAGGGGGTTGGGGTTGGAGTGGGAATCATACCCATAATTCCTCTTTCCTAATATAAGAATAGCTGCAGTTTTAAAAATTTCTTCACATCCTTGGTTGCAAGGAACTCAAACCCACTCAGCTTAAATTTTCTAAATAATAGTAAAGAATGAGGTTATTTGGAAGATATAGGGATAGCTCATAGAATCTAAGAGCAAGAAGCAACATCTCCTGAGGAACTGGCTTTAGGAATGAACCAGAAAAGCAAGCAGGCACTTCCCTCCTCTCTCTTCTCCTGCTGTGAGGCAGCTCATTTCAGAGTCTACTGCTCTCCTGGGTCTGGTGTCGGATTTCGGCCCCTGTCTCTGCAGGACAACTTTCCTTCATTCATTTGCACATGGTCTGTTCTGTTGCCCCCCAAAGTCACCCTAAGTTCCAAAGTCCATCTTATCCCAGCTAGGCACCCACTGATTGAGTTTCCCAGATCCTAAGTTTCAGGAAAGAGAATTTGAGTGCCCACTCCCATCTGCAGCCTGACTGGGTCAGGCTCTGGGAGCGTCTGGGGCAACGTCTTCTACCAGAGGACAAACACAACCACAGGGGTCCAGGCAAGGTGGGAAGGAAGTTCTCAGGGGTGGGACATGAGCCAGGTTGGTACCCCACAGGTGTCTATGGTGCTACACAGCATTCTGGTGCCTGTGTCTTGTGTTTAGATCCTCTAATAATTTTGCAGTCTTAAAGTATTTCACTTAACTATTATAATTTTGGAGTTTTCTTTAAAATACTAAAAAATACTTTGTAGGTCTATTTAGTTCATTGGAGAAATATTATTCATTTTCTTACAATACTAAATAGCCAAAGCTAATTTAACTACCTAGTTTGTTTATATACATTCAGCCATAAATTCAGGGAAATGTGCCCATTTCAAAAGAAACTTTTTCAAATTCACTTGCTCCTCACAGTCGAGGCCCCTCATCACCATATTATAACCCAGCAAATTAGAAACAATTAAGGTTTTCAGTTACAAAATTAGCCTTATTTTTAATTATTCACTGAGAAATAGACCTGTAACTTCTGAAGGTTAGCCAAACTAGATTTCAGACCCAGGTGGCACCCACTTAAACGTTAAAGACCATGACAAGTTATTTTGATATTACTTTTGCAAGAAAGACATTTCAAGACTACTAGATGTACAGAGTTATGGGGGGAAAGAGAGCAGGGGAAGAAATATATGATGTAAATGTACACTGAATTTTTTACCAATGAAGTATTGGGACATCTGCTTCGAAATCATGTGGGGTGAAAGCCTTGAGTGGAGGCTCATGAAACAGGGCTGGCCATGTGCTAATAACTGTTGAAACTGAACATTAACTGGGCGGTAGAGGTTTTGTATATCCTTCTTACTTCTATATGTGTTTGAAATGTCCCATGATTTTAAAATGCTGAAAAAAATACTAGAGTGTGTGTCTTTTGAGTCATTTAAATTTCAAGCCATAAAGGATCAATGAGGTGTAAAGAGGAGAATCAGGGTGTCTATTCTTCTTCAACATTAATCATAGTGATTACTAGATTTTAATTTTACATCAGATCGAAAGACTGTTTTTGCTCAACGTGTTGTTTTGGGAAAATCTTGGATTTCTTTACAATTTTTCAAGTAAGATAGGGGGAGAGGGCAAGCATTTGTATGTTGTTTTATGTGTCACTATCTTCTAGTTTCTAGGCTTTAAAGTACAAATTTAGAATTTAGACCTGGGTAAATGTGAGTGCTTACCACAAGGTTCTCACTTGTGATGCCACAATTCTTGCCAAAGCAGTTTCCTTTTACTACACATTTGTGCAACCAGGAAAATGAGCAAAAAGCCTAGATTTAGTCAAGCTTTTGAAAAACAGATATTCCTTTCATAACAGAGTAAAACCTAGCAGGCTTGATTCTATGAGGGATGTGCAAGGTCAGATTTTATGAGGCCCGCATTAAAAAATTCATAGCTTTGGGGTTTCTGCCCTGCCATATAATTGACTTTACGTGCACTTCTGGATAATCCAGCATTCATTTGCTCAGTTTATGAGCCTGATTAAAATGAATCAAAATAGTTGCAACCGTGCTTGTATCTTTACAACAGAAAGATAAATGCAGATGTTAATTGTCTTTTTGCTTCATTCTATCATACTAGGAAAATTATTGCAAGTTAATTCGGGTGCCAAAGAACAACTCTTTTTTGAAGCTCCGAGAGGCAAACGGCATATAATAAGACCTTCGGAGGTAACAGTCATACACAGAGCTTTTTAAAAGTGTTTCGTGAAGATTTAATATGTGCATTTTTAATAAAGCCTGTCCATTATTATCCATTAGTATGGGTTATATTTAGTGTACCTTTAAGCTTGATTGTTTCTTAAATCTGAGTGCTTAATCTGGTTCCCTACATTCTGAGAACCTACGAATTCACTGGTCTGCTGATGGAGCATTGGACAGTCAGCCTTGTGCTTAATCTTCCTCTGCTGCAAGACAATGACTAAGCTTATAATTTGAATGCTACATATTACTTCTTCCATTGGACATGCCCTGTCCTTTGGTGCAAAGCTTTCTGTGAACATAAACTTTTGAAACTTACTTTCTCAGTAAGTATTTGTAACAACACTATCTTCTGCGGTAAGAAAAATTACTTTTTAAAACAAAAACTATGTACAACCTGACCATCCATTTGTATCAAACTGTTTCCCTTTTCCCTGTTTTCCTCATGTCTTTGGCCACATACATAATTTCTTAGTTGTTGAAACCAAAGCCTCTATACAACTTTTGAATCCATGAACTAATGCCTTTCTAAAGGCTAAGGTGCTTTTGCGGCCAAGTGCTTCTTCCAGGGTCTGTATGGAGGTTCCACAGAGTGAACATGGATGGCTGAAAGGTGGTTGCCTGGTTGAGCATTAAGGACCTCTTCTTAGCCCCAGGAGACAACCTGAGTCATTTATTTGCTATATAACCTTTGATGAACGAAAAGGAAATAATTGCTTCCTTAGAGGGAAAGGTGTCAGAGGGTACACCACTGAGGGATAGGCATCTGCCTCTAACTTCAGTCTGTCATTAAGAGAAACCGTCCCATCATTGCAAAGTACTCCCAGAAACATTGGGATATGTGCCCATTCATAATGTTTTCATGGTTTCTAAAAGAAGTCTATGTGCGGTACTTAAGAAGTATAAGTTGTTAGAGATGATGGCATTATATTAATGGAAACTGTTTGCTGATCAATCGATCTCACTCCCAGATTCCAATGTATTTATCTCTGATCAGTCGTCATTCTAACTTTTTTAAAGAAACTTCTGTAGCCTTGAGTAAGAGATATTTTAAATTAAGTCCTTTATTCACTGGACACTTCGTACGCCTGTGTTATTGTCTTGTGAACATTCTTGTGTGATGGCTGTCAGTCTCATTTTACAGGCAGGGAGATTAAGCCTCCAGGAGAGTAGGAGGACCATGGAGCTATGGTCCCAGTCTCGAGGGGTCCATGTGTGACTACTTGGCAGCCTAGACCATGGGGCCTTTTGGATTTTTCCTGTGTATTTAAGCATCATTTTACATCACTTCATCTGTGTTTTCCCTTCATGTTCTGGTGCCCCAAAATAAGTGCACTAAAATAAAATTCAGTCGAACCAAATGGTGGAGGGGGAAGGATACCAACTTGGGACCAATGAGCAATTACTGTGTTTAAGAATCTGCACAAGGGGCGCCTGGGTGGCGCAGTCGGTTAAGCGTCCGACTTCAGCCAGGTCACGATCTCGCGGTCCGTGAGTTCGAGCCCCGCGTCAGGCTCTGGGCTGATGGCTCAGAGCCTTGAGCCTGTTTCCGATTCTGTGTCTCCCTCTCTCTCTGCCCCTCCACCGTTCATGCTCTGTCTCTCTCTGTCCCAAAAATAAATAAACGTTGAAAAAAAAAA